TTATAAAAAACAAAATATACAAGTTTTAATATATAGTATTCATTTATTAAACAAAAATTCAAAAAAAATCAAATAAAACGCGAAAAAAATAATAGCACTACAGCATTAATGTTTACTTTAAAATAAGGAAATATTATGAGATCAATCGTTTTAAACATTTTACAATAAATATTAGTTATTTCTTAACATATTAGTATTTGTACCGTGACCTTTATTGGCAATAACGGCTACACAAAGTTTTGGCATCGAGTTAACCAAGTCCTGACATTGCTTTAGCAGAATTTCGCTCTATGTCTCCTTAACTACGTTCCAAAGTGACTCCTTTGTGGTGGGTTTGGCAGTAGCAACCACCACCTTTACGTCTGCCTTCAAATTCTTGATTGGTTTAAAATCTGGCAACTGTGCTCGCCACTCCGTAACGTTCACTTTATGCTCCTCAAACCAATTCTTTTCCTTCTTGCTAGTGTGCTTTGGTTCATTGTCCTGTTGGAACACCCAGGACAACAGTATTTCATAGTCTGCATACGGCAACATCACTTTATCCAATATATTAACATAAACGTGTTGGTCCATAATAGTAGTATTGTGATGAATAGGACTTACTCCGTAATAAGAAAAGCATTCCCATATCATTATACTACAACCTCTATGTTTAATAGTTTTGATGGTATATTTTGAATTGTATTCTGCATTCCGTGGTCTTCTGACATATGCCCGAGAGCCTTTTCCACCATAAAGCACAATCTTACTTTCGTCCATAAAATATTCCTCCATTTTTCAAGTGGCCAATTTGAGTGTTTTTTAGCAAATGCAATACGCTTTACAACATGTCTGGCACGTAGAAGTGGAACTTTTCTGGGGCTACAGGCTTATAAACCATTAACTTGCAGACAACTCCAAACTGCTTGTACTGTTGCATCGATGTTAAAGTCCTTTTTCAGCTCGGTAGCTGTTTTAAAAGGTTCCTTTTTAGCCTGTCAGACTAAGCGATTGGCCAGCAATGTTGAAATAGAACAATTTTGACCATGTATTTCAGTCTTTTCTTGAAATTTTATGGCATTTCTTATCATTTTATTGGAACACTCAACTAAACGACCAATTTCTCAATAATATTTCCCTGCTGATATCAACTTTTGGATCAGTTCTCTTTTTTGTGCACTACAATGCTTTCCGCTTTTCCATTTTTATATGTAAATGTCTCCTACTAATACTTACTAACATAAAACGAATAAAACAGCAAAAAAAAAACCAACGCTTGCTATTTTCACAATTATTTTTACCGTTATCAGAGTATTTTTGTGTGGTGCTATTTAATTTTTCAGTCAGAATTAGCATTTTTGATTAAAATCGAGCAACACCAAGCAACATTAAGCAACAATTTTTTTTCCCAAAATGATTTGTTTTAGAAAATAAACATGTTAGCTAATATTTTAAAAAGCAAAGCTATAAAAAAAATTTATTTTGCATGATGTTTTTTTAACAAAAATGAAAATACCCTTAGTGGTGCTATTTTATTTTTCACAACTGTATATATATATTTGAGGTTAATAAAAATTGCTGATCTCAGAAAACAGAAATTGGCAAAATATTGCCAATCTCAGTTTTTTTAATTCTGAGGGTTGTATAGGTTGCAAGGTTGCGCGGGGTAAAGCATAAGTAAAATGACGTTTGTCTGACGGGATAAACTAGTTATAAATGCTGATCTTCATCGAAACGCCAGTAATAATAGACGCGACTCTGAGGAGATGTTTATTACTTATCACTACACTAATTATGTTTACACATTAGCATTAATGTTTTTTTTTTTCCATTATTAGTCCTTTCATTGTTGTTAGCATATTTTTAATTTGTTGAATTGTTTTTTGTTTTACCTGGTTATGTATTTCTTGTATATTTTAGTTCATATTGGTATTTATAAAACAATTTATTTTATTTTTTTATTTTTTTTATTTATATATATATATATATATTTTTTATTATTATTTGTTTTTATTTTTTTAATTTTTTTTATTGTTATTATGGTTGAGTACTGTTTTGGTTGTATAGCTTGTCTTATTTATTTTTAAATATTCCTCTATTAATCTTTATTTTTGTCTTGACAACTGTCAAAATATGCTTTGTCTAATAAATAATTCTCCTTTATTCTAATGTACTTCATTTCTTCCCTCAGGCGTTCACTGCTCATGTGTGACCAATCGGCGAATTTTATATGCCAAAGTTTTTAAATAATACTCTAAAGAACCATCTGATAGAATTAAACCTCTAAAAATAGAATAAATCCCTCAAACCCCCTTTTCAAGGTTGCATGTTACCAGTACCACCTGACATCATTTTCCAGATATAAAGTTTTCAAAAGTTTTATTTTGGTGTTAATCAACTCTAATAAAAATTTTAGCATTTTGGATGAGTTTTAGTCAACCCGCATGAGGCCTTAAGTTTTCAATATTATTTAAAATTAAGCTTTTTATTATAATAATAGCAATTATTATCATAATAGCAA